AAAGGGTGATCGTGGAGGAATTTGTCTGTATTTTTATTTTCGAAAAGTTAAGAACTTTTGCATCTTTTTCTTGTAAAATTATAAAACCTTGTCTCGTACTCAGTAAACTTCTAGAGAATGTAGGACGAGGATTTTTCTGGGCACGGAAATTAGGCGTTTTGGGCACGGTTTGTCACTTTCCGTGCCCAAAAAAACCGTTCGTCTTATTTGGGCACGGTTTTCCTTTCTAAAACTCGGGAATGCTGCACTCCATTCGCTTGTAAACTGTGTGCCACAATGTCACACCAGAAACTGTATTACTAATTTCTTTTGAATTTATTCAAAAAAGAAGACAACATTTAGTGAGCCAGTGTTGTTTTCACTTTCTTTGGACGTCCTCTATGCCGTTTCCCTAGATCTTGTAATCGTCAGGGATCTGACACTGTGTAATAGCCAAAATGCATCATGAGTCTCAATGCATGTTTGCAGACGTACTGTTTCAAGTTTTGTTTGCATGAACATATCATGGGCATTGAGACGAGTCTGGCAGCGTACATCCAAGTGCAAAAAGGATCAAAATTTTGCCACGGCAACGTTTCCAGTTGTTGTAGCCAGAGATGAGGAGGAATATACACCGGAGATGAGGAGGGAACCACATGTGTATGGCCATACCAGTACAACTACCGACTTTTGTCAAAATTTTGAATCCATTTATGAGCATCTTTCTCGTGAGAATGGTTGAAAGTGGGAAAGGTTAGAAAACCGCGTTTGGCTGGTGCTTGTGGCCATTCGACAAGCATTTGCTCAATCGTTGCCAGAAACGCAGACAGGATCAGTTTGTTTCTGAATGTATAGTTCTGTTTTATCTTCCCGTTTAGGGATTCAAGACCGTTGTTCGTCGATGGCACGAACGGGGCAGCTCCTTCGTACAAGAAAGACAGTTCTTTCACCCACTGTGTCTCAAAATAATTTGCGAACGCGACTATTTCAGGTTGCTATCTCCATTTTGTTAACAATAGTGAAATAGCTTTCCAAAAGACAGCATCTGAAAATGACAGCTGAATACTAACAATGTCACGTTCGACGGCTGACCACCGTGCAACTAGCACCATTTTTCGATGATCTCGGCACTTTTTGATTACATGAAACCAGCACATTAATTGTCGTGCGTTCGGAAATTCCGTTTTTGAAGTACAACTAATCCTTTTCCCACCGTCGCCCATCAGATATTTAACAAATTTAAACCTGTTGTGTTCAGTACTGTTTGTTTTAATGTTTGAAACAATCTGGCATATGAACTAGCAGCTTCGTCTGTTGAAATCAGAGCGATGCCATAGGGGTGAAAATGGCGGTCCGTATCACTACAACCAAACACCAGCAAAGGTAGTTCTTGCCAGGTCAATTTGAATGTTGCGTCAACTTGATGTAGATATGACTGAGCGCCAACAGAGATCAGCTGACGAGTAGCGAAGAACACAAACAGATCCTCGGAGGAATTGATTTCGAACTGTGGTACATAAACATCGTGCGGTGACTGTAAACTGAGAGTAGTAGAACGCAGTTGACACCACTGATAAAAATCATGAACAGAGTAGACATTAGCCAGTGTTAGTAAACGTTGATATTTCAGTAGACTTGTTACCTTGGACGATGAGACTTGTCCATTGTACTCATTGGCAACAGCAAGTCGGATCTGAGTTTGGCTCAGTTTAGCAGCAGCCGATTTTAAGACAATTTCACGTACAGGCGAAGGAGCACGTGTAGTTTGAGCACGAATAGAATGATTATGAGTGTTCGATGAGAACACACATGTTTCGTTACCAGAACTTAACACCGCACGTATCTGGTAGTCACACCCAGGGAATTTTCGACATAACGAACATCGATGTATAATTTTTGCACCTGCGTTTACTGTTTCGGTACGGAACTGCGAGACATTGTTTTGTTTAATATATATATATGAAACTCGGCCTTTAGACGAAAACTTGCCCATAGAGACCCATATTCTACATGCCATGGTTTGTTTTTTGTTTGCTATGAGATTGAGACACTTTAGCTTAGCAAAAAGCAACTGTGTATAGTATGGATTAATGGATTATGCAACATTCGCGGACGTTCCGTCAATAATTTTATCAACAACAGCCTTTTTACTATATCACTGTAAGAATATAGAAGACAGCAAGAGGAATTGCTGGAAATTAGCGACCCATACCATTGACGTTGTAGTACACAGCTCACAAGCGAAAGGAGTGCAGCATTCCCGAGTTTCAGAAAGGAAAACAGTGCTCAAATAAGACGAACGATTTTTTTGGGCACGGAAATTGGCAAACCGTGTCCATTTCGGCTAATTACCGTTCCCAAAACAGAATTTGTCCGAGAATGTATATCTTAATAATCTAACTATAACTTCTCAATGTATTTACCGAACTTTTTAAGTTATATACCATTCAACAGAGTGTTCAAAGCTGAAGAAATTAGAATGGTTTGATATCTCTGCTTTGCTATACACCTTTGATTTACAGTAGTGGGATTATTCTAATGACCTTAATTTCTTACTAATGGAAGAACATAGAATATTCCTGACATAAAAAAGATCTTTTCAGCTATCTGTTAATAGTTTGGTTTTGTACACATGAAAATGCGTGTTAAAGTCAAAATATTAAGGTATTAAGGTGGTTTCTAGAAATTTATTCGACACAAGAAAAGCTTGTAACTTTACAAAAAAAGATGCAAAAGTCCTTAACTTCCAAAAATAAAAATACAGGCAAGTTTTCTACGGTCACCGTGGACAAACATTGGTGAGAAACGATTACAGGATGCCGCAAGATAGACGTAAGGGACAAAATCCTTTTTCTTTCAGCAAACAAAATCCTGCCAGTCCTCGCAAGAAAAAACTTGTGGATTGAATAAGTCAAAAAGTCTCGTGATATTTCTTACCTTTAAGCAGGATTTTTTCCACGCTACTTCTCCGCGAAAACTGTAGGATCCCCTCGAGGATGGCAAGGAAAAGAATCCTGCGTAAAGGTAAGAAACACCTTCTAATTTTCTTGCCCACAACCGACGACTTTTCAACGCAAAATTCTGCAGGATAAATAGAAAAGCAGGGAAATCGGAACGGTTTGACCGGATGTTTCGAATAGAATGCTCTTTGCTGTACCTGACGTAGTGTCCGGAGATCGGAATGAACAAGGTCGGCTGTTCGGAATGTAAATCTAAGGGTATTTTTTACAGAAAAAGACAGGAAGAATGCAGAAATTAATAACCGAAGATATTGAACTACATGCAAAATAACTATTGTAGACTACATAAATTGGCATCATTGGTGGTAAAATTATTAATGACTATATGAATAAGGATCAGGTTCGGTTCATTTTCTTTTGACTTTACTTGTAGTTTTACTGGATATGGAGGAAACATGTGCTGCAAAAGAGGAAGCAATATCCGGATATCGATCACAGTACACGGAATCACAGCAAGTTCATTTGGTTAATTTGTGCTCTATGCATACACTCTAAAAAAAAAGGTGTTTTAAAAAACGTTTAAAGGGTGTAACCATCTGAAACATATCATAACTGTTTGTCCGTTTCTATTTCGTGACCGAAAAACTGATTCTGGAGTTTTAAAATACGGTTAACCGCGTTTTAAAAAACCAATAAGGGTATTTTCAACTGTGAAAAACGTTGAAACGGTTATGATGTTTCAAATGGTTATACCCTTTAAACGTTTTTTAAACACGGTTTAACCGTTTTGTAAAATACGTTTGACGGTCTTTGTCAACCGTGAAAAACGGTGAGTAATTGAATGACGTTTATTCGTTTTTCACGGATAAATATATTTAGTTATTGCTATAAAAACTCTGTGGGTATTTTAAAAACGGTCTAAACGTTTCTCGAAACACATTTCAAGGATTTTTTCTCTCGTGGAAAACGTTGAAACGGTTATGATATTGTTCAAATGGTTATACCCGTTAACCGTTTTTCAAAACACTTTCAAGCGTTTTTATAGTTCTGTATGACTTCATTCTCGAAAAGCTTATTTGACAAACGGTTTCTTCATCTCACACCGATTGTCTAGTATAGTAAAACGGAACTGATGCTAAAAATCAGTTCAAACGCTTTCTGTGTTAAATATGAAACAACATACAAAAGAAGAAGAAAAGGAATGTTAAAGGGAGAATCGGATAGGATGTCGGGTGCAGATATTTTTCTCTCTCCTCCCCTTAAAATCCTCTAGACTCACTGAGATAATGAATACAAACATTTTATTAGTATTTATTCTACACAAGTTCATTAATATATGAAATGTAACACACCATCACTTTATTATGTACAAATAAAACAACTTTTGTGAATAGAAAAGAAAAGTTAAAAAACATGAGTTACACAAAACAAGTAAAAACGCATCAACATCGGTACATCACGCTTGAAAATGTTTGTAAGAACTCTTGATAAGTATCGGTTCATCTGAATTACTGCTAAAAAGAGAGAACAAAAAGTGTTCCGAAGATTTCCTATTTACAAAGATTACAGTAGAAAAAAAAGTTTCAGGGAAAAGGTGACTAATACCCATAACATGAAAAAATGATGAAAGTTCTTTATCACCAACAGAACGTTAACACACGCAGACATGAGAAAAACAAAAGCAAATATGTAAAAGAAACTGAGATTATTAGTACACATTAGCATATGCCACATGACAAAGAGACATACAAGGAAAGAAAAGAGATTAGATCAGGTTATGATCACATACACATACACTTTTTATTTATCTTTCTGAAGACAAGCAAAAATACAAGAAGCAAAATAACAACAGAAAAAAACAAACAAACTAAACAGCAACTAATATCTTCCTCTTCTAGTAATCCGTCTTGATTTTGACACTTGTGTACATGCTTCATCATCAACATTTTCATTCAATACATCATGTCGTGTTCGTTTTCTTGTATTACGTTGTGTCGTTGCCGAATTCTTCTTTGTTGACGCTGAGATTGGTTGTTGTTCACTTGAATTAGATTTTATTCGCTAAACCAACGGTTCATTATCGTCATCATCATCGTTATCTTCTTTTCTTTTCAAAATTAACTTTGGAGTGTGTTGTTGTTGAATGTTATCATTTATTGTTGTTAGCGATAAATGATCTTCTTTTTCGTGTTGTTTTAATCCAGCATCTTTATCTTTTGTTTCATCGACACCTGATTCTTGATTAATTTTTAGTGGTTCTATTCTTGTTTTAATTTTTGGCACATTGACTTCAATTTCGATACCCCATTGATTTAACAATTTTCTTGTTGCACTTGTGGTTTTAGATTTGTCATTAAAAATAATCGAATATAATAATTTGGCAGCACGGTTATGTGGTTGAAATTGAATACCAAATATATCATAACATGCAATCCACAACCCAACAGCTTCCTGAACATATACAACACAAAAGTCTAGCATAATAGTAAAATATTCATCGTTAAATAACATACATGGATAAGCCGAAGGTGGTTTCTAAAATAAAAGTAAAATAAAAACATTGTGTACATAATGGAATTTTAGTGTAAGATTCTTTTTTTCTCGCTTTATTCACGGTAGGCTTCTTCGCTCCATTAGTATCAAAGTACAGAAATTAAAGTTTGAGAAGTCGCTTTTACCGAGAAGTTTTTAGAATAGAAGTCATACTTACAATATCATTCTTCTTTTCATTCCCTTCGCTTTTTTCTTCACAATGTATGATAAAATGCCATGATTCATTCATATATTTACATAATACTTTCAGCACTCGAAATTCAGTTGAATCTAAAAACATAATACAAAAAAACACGAAAGTTATATTACACAATTAAAACACTCAGAGAGATTTTGCACAGGGCCACTTTACCTGAAGGACACGATGTTTCATTAACACATAATTTTTCATTCAATATATTGAAGCATTCGTTCACTTTTTGTTTTAAATTAATACCATGAGTATACAAAATTTCATCATAAATCTAGATGAACAAAAACAAACACCCAGTAGTAATGATAATTCTCATAATGGGGAAGAAAGAAAAGTTCTTACTAATGCCGGAACTTTATAGCCAGGAAACATCACCAACGTATCACTTAAATTATTTTTTTTTATAAATTCGTTTCTTGTTGTTAGTGTTGTACGCCAACAATAAATTAATTGGTCCATATTTGGCTCATCAGTAGACAACTCTTGTTTCATCATATTAATTTTCTCTTGCTGTTTTTTTTCGTCTTCTTCTTCTACTTGAATAATAATCTAAAAGGAGAAAAGAGGGTCAGTGATTTCTTGTAGGTTAAGAAAGTAGTCGAGAATATTACCACACGATCTTTTTCCCGTTTGGCAAATGTTTCTTCTTTCTTTTTGATTGGTCGACCACCAGTACCAGTTTCACTTTTATACTTTTTTCTTGCTTCTAAAATTTCATCGGTTGGTGTTGCTGATGTTTTTCGACCCCGTTTAAATCGAGCTTGAATACTTTGCTTCCAAGAATTCTACAATGGAAAAACAATATATCGATAAGTTTGCCGAACTGTTTCGAGAGACACACATTAAAAACTTACAATATTGTCAGTATTAACGTCCATTTTTAGAGTATTTAAAATACTTTTTGTCACATTCTCATATTCCCGTTTATCAGGATACCTGAAAAGAGAAAAAACCTGCAAAGCCTTCAGCAGCAATAATCTCATTTAGAATTTACTTACCAAGCCTGATAATTATCGATTAAATCAAAAAATATAGCTTCAACCAAAATTCCACGAAATTTTGAGTAATTTTCAAAAATGGTTGTATTCCCATTTGCAATTGCTTGTTCCACAGCTGAAGGCAGTATTGGAAGAAGATAATTATCGGGTATTGGCTTTTTCTTGGATTTTATGATGATATTATCATTTGCAGTGATGCTGTTTGTGGTTGTATCTGGTGCTGTTGATATTCGTGTTACAGTCAGATCTTCATCAACAATTTTTGTGTCTTTTAAATTTTGATCGGTGTTAAACGGTAACCAGTTTGTTAAACCCGATAACGACGCTAATAAATCATTCGGATCTCCACAAGATGATGATTGAGTTAATGATGATGCTAATAAAACACTTTGATCTTGATGAGACGATGATAAATGATTCGATAATGGTTGTTGAGATGTAGACGATAAAACAGAACTAATGTTTGGTGAAAATAATCTGTCACGATAATGAAGAAATTTAACCTGTTCAATAAAATTTGGCAAAATACCACTAATAATTATTGGCGTTGTCATCAATGCCAATGTATTTCCATCCACTTGTTGATCTAAAAATATGAAATAAACAACATTTTATATAGAAAATTATTTTCTTCGTTTTTCTTCCAAGATAAAAGCAAGTACTACTGATCCACCACACAACTACCTTTTATATCCTACACTGTATCCTCAAAAACATGTGGAGTTCTCTAGATATTTTGAGTATTGGTTAAAACCTACTTTAGCTGAACAAAAATAGAAGAGGAGAAATCATGAAGAAAATTGCCTGTTTAATGTCGAGTAACACGCGATGACAGAGTGGCATACGATGAACCTTTCACATAATAAATATCGAGTGTTTTATGGTAAAATTTTAAATGTTCCGGGTAAATTGCTTTAATAACACCACTTGAACGAATTTCATATGAATATAATTGTTCTACAAATGTTTCTGTTATCAGTTTTTCAACAATAATAACCCAATTTGATTTTATTTTAATCATATGATGAATAAGATAAAATAATGGTGTATCTTCTTCGTCAACAACATCGTAAATAATAACAGAATTCTTCTTGTAACAAATATGATCATGAATTAGTTGTTTACATGCAAGAATTGTTGTTGTTTGATCTAAACATTCAATATTAAATTTCGTTTTCAATATTTGTTTGACATTTTCATCATAATTCAACAATTTTTCTAATTTCGAACCCGATATTTCATCAAACGCTTTTAAAAATTGGCATTTCGATAATTGCAAACAATGTTTATATTGATTTCTTGTTGCAAATGTTTTTGTGATGTTCTTAAAATTGCACGTTCTTAAGGCAATTTTTTTGAAGTAAAGATGACGACCTTCGTATCGCATACACCAGAATCGTGTTGGCGGACCAAAACATTTGATAATATCATGATATTCGCACGAAAAATGAACTTTTGGTGACATAAAATCGGGAAAATATTCAGCCATCGCCGATTGAAATCGAATTCCAAGATGCTGTAGATACGACAGCCAACTTTTTCTAATTGGAATTGCTAATATTATTTCCACCATTTGACGTAGTACTACATAAACATCGAACAGATCTAATTTATCTGTAATGTCAGCAAATATGATCGGGAATAATCGAAATAATAACAGTTTTTGTGCAGCACTTCCCACCAAACGTCCTTTGGTCATATGTTTTATTTTAATTGTTGGTGGTTGATCGGATTTATCATTTCCACCATAAACGAATGTTGATGTACGTTCTTCAATTTGGGCGTATGTTAATAACTTGTTTTGTGACGCCCGTTTTAATAGACACATGATTACAATTGGACACGTGCCTTCACAAAAATCATGCATTGCGTCTCCGGAAAGTGCTGTTGTTGGATGAAAACCTGCTAATTGTTTTAAATCACTTTCTCCCACCACGCCACACACAGATGAATCATCATTATTGTTGTTTATCGCATCAAGGCATTTTTGATGTTGTTGTTCATTTCTTGGCATAAAATGGATATCTGTTAACGGTATTTTTCGAAGATCATATTGCACCAGACAACGACGACAAAAATAGCCAGTACTGAAACATTGTTGAAAATTGCCAATTTGATGTGCTCCTAGATTATCAGCAGAAATACAGGTGAACTTGAACATTAATTGTGCATCGAACGTGCCGATCGATAAACCGGTTGTTTGTAATGCATTTAAATCATCGATAACTGGTTTATAAAATCGTTTAACATATTGTTCATCTTGTAAGTAATTGGTGTTGATAACAGCTAACAATGTTATACATTGTAACATTGAACGAAACATATCCGGTATATCTTCTAATAAATAATAAAAGAATGTAACTTTGTGTAAATCCTTTTTTGGACCGATTGGATTTGTCAAACCAACACCGTCGGTATACAATTGTAATAAAAAAGAATTATTATCTACATTTTGACCATACGCCGCGTCACGACTGAATACAAAAAACCTACTTAGCATACGCGGAAAAAGGAAAAAAGAAAACTTACTATGAAAACATTAAATCATTATCTTTGGTTGTTTGTTCTTGCTGTTGTTTAATGTTTTCAACTAGTAATGATATCATTTCATCTTTACATAAAATACGAAATAAAGATTCACGTATTGGTACATAATAAGCAAAAGCTTGTTCACTCCGTTTTACTGTTGTTGTTTGTGGAGATCTTGATAATACAATTTCTTTTGGTGGAAGATAACCAAAAAATCTTTCACATAATTTAATAAATTTATATTCCGTTTTTGTTGTACGCTCCACAACTTCATTGACTTCATTAATAACAGAGCATACATTTTCAACACTAATATTTTGAACTGTATCCCTTGTTGTTTGACTATTATTGTTATTATTGTGTGTTCTTGTTGTTGTGTTTCCATTGTCGCTCGCTTTTTGAATTATTAATTTTGTAACAATATTTAATAATTGAGACACATTATTGCTAATAGATTCCATAACATTCAACGGTAATAAATGATCTTCTCTCATTTGAAGTAGAAATCGAGCATATTGTTTTTGAAAATCAACCATGGTAAATGTTTTATTTGATTCAAATCGAGGGGGTGGAGGTGGCATTGCATCGTCGTCATTTTCTTTCTCTTCGTTATTGTGTACATTTTGATCAAAATACACCTGTCTTTTTGTTTCTTCGTCATTATCATCGTCTTCTACATCGCTCAATGCTGCTCCAATTGTACTATAATCTTCGTCTTCTGCATCAATGTCATCTAACGAGTTAATATCGTTATCCTGATTATACACCGGTTGTTGTGATGGTTTTTTTAATAAATCGGAATGAAATCGATGCACATGTGATTTGAAAGCCCCAAACGTTTTGTATGTCTTACCACATGTGTAAGATAGCTCGCAGTTTAGAATGAAATCGGAATCGAAAGAATGCCAAAATTGTAAATGTTGGAATAGATCTTGAAATTCATGATATTGTTTGGGATCATTACACAGCGGACACGTGAAAGAATTTTGCGCCATAATGCAGATCAACACACTGCAGTTAGAAAACAGAACTTAAAAGATGCTGCATATAGAATAACAACAGTAGAAGTAAACAGTTATTATTCAACAAAAGATTAAACGAGAACGATGGTAGGAAATTTAACACCGTACTGACTTAGGAAGAGAAAAAAGTGGAAGAAAAGAGAAAGAAACACCGGGGATATTTAAAATTGTAGGATGGAATTTTTACGCAATATGGCACACAACGTTTAAAACTCTTTCTTAACTTAGACTATATTCAAAATATCGCATGTGTTGACGGGCGAAGCTAAAGTTATCTACTCAGCTACAGCCTTTGGTGGAGCTCTAATAAAAAGAAAATTCACTTTACCTTTGAATTTTTGTATTATTAATTCATCTCTGAAGATGTCTCGTAACCACGTAGCAACCTGTTCGCAATTCCATGATGTTGGATCAGTCATTAAAAATTCCATGTTAAAATAAATTCATAAAAGATCTAGAACAGAGCTTATCACCTGCATAAACTGACTAAAAGCTGCAGGCAATGCAGGTAGGTTGCAGTTTGCAGGTGAATGAAAACTTTTTCCACTGACGGCCTGCACATAAAGAATAATGTTTTCCTGTCTGTACTCTCTGCAAGAGAGAAGATTTTCCCTGCATCGCCTGCAGGGAAAGACGTTTTTGTGTGAAGAACAAACAGAGTTAGGAGACTAAGAGAAATGTTGTTCACACTGAAGACCAGAATGATCTCTTAAGGAAAAGAAACTAACTGACAGCTTTTTTGTATGTCTACGAGACATTTCAAAATAAAAGAGAGAAAAGAAAAACAATGACTTTCGCTCTTGTTGTACTTAATATGTTTTTTTTACTACGTGCACTACGTATTGTCAAAGAAGATGACAAAAGACTATAATTCTATAAGACTATAACAGAAAGGGAAAAGATAGAACAAGAATAGTGAATTGCAACTGGTGATAGAATCTATAACTATCAGTGTGTAATACAGACTGATAGTAGTCAGTAGGGAAAAAAATTTTTATACGTCGCCTTGGGGTCCATCTGCGGGGCAGGGCAGTGTAGAAGTTTTTACCCGCACTCCCCGCCTCACGTTTGTATCAATAGAGAAAAAGCAAACGCCACACAAAAAAAGCAGCTTGACAATCTCAGGTCTCAAAAAGTTTCCTTGTAGAAAAAGACAGCTTTCAGTCTCAAATAAGGACACGATTGATCAAAAGAACACAAATTAAAATAACGCTTTTTTTTCAAGCAAAACGAATTATTTTACACATCCTGTGGATCGTAAAGCAGAATAACATATCGTGCTTGATCAATTTTCGAAATAGTAGTGTTAAAAAGAGTCTGCCTGTAGAATAGTTTCAAAGAAAAAACGCATTTCTAACTTTCGGTTTTTTCAACCAGAAGAAAAAATCCTTCTCC